TCAGTTTAGTCGTATATTGCAGAATTTGACTGTATTTAGCAGAATTCGGTCGTATTTTGCAGAGTTTGACTGTATTTAGCGGAATCTGGTGGTATTTTGCAGAGTTTGAGTTATTTGCAGAATTTGATAGTTCTTTGCAGAGTTTGACTGTCTTAAGTTTTAGCAGAACTTGGTCGTATTTTGCAGGTTTTGGTATAATTTAGTAGAATCTTGCAGAATTTAATTAAAAATGACACTTTTTAATAAAATTGCATAAAGTCTCTATATGAATGTCTAAATCATGTTTGAATATGAACCATGATAGTCTTAACAAGATGTATTAAAACGATGTGCAATATCTTAATGAGAAAATTGGCAAATCGCTAAGTGTTGATGAGTAGAAGTAGGCCTGTTGGAGCTATTTTAAATTGCGTATATATTTATATGAATGAGCTTTTGTTTCCGGCTGGTTGCTGTGGAAACGACAACCAGAGTAAACTGCACGATATCACATTTACCGTTACTATTATATAGCGATAGATCGCCAGTGACAAATAATGCTAAAGAAAACTGCGTCATTTATTTTGAATAAAATTTCAAGACTTAAGCTCTGTTGAACATATTGAAATCTTACTAAGAAAGTCCATGTACGTGTTCAACTAAACATCAATTCAGACCAATGCAGGAAGGAAGTGGTTTATCAATCCATAACAATAAGTTTCGAATTCTTATTTTATTATATCACTGTAATGTATAACATTGCAGTGAAATCATCAATATGTATTTTTTTGTTTCTAAGTATAACCGCTTATCACGGTTTGAATTTCATTGTTTCTAAGTAAAGTAATGTATAACATATTCGCTGATCACTGGTATATGTATTTCATTGTTTCTAAGTAAAGTAATGTATAACAAATTCGCTGATCACTGGTTTATGTATTTCATTGTTTCTAAATAAAGTAATGTATAACATATTCGCTGATCACTAGTTTATGTATTTCATTGTTTCTAAGTTAAGTAATGTATAACAAATTCGCTGATCACTGGTATGCATTTCATTGTTTCTAAGTTAAGTAATGTATTACATTAACGCTTATCACTGGTACGTATTTCATTGTTTCTTTGATATTTTTTTTTTATTTCACATGACCGATTATCACTGGTAAATATTTCATTGCTGCTTAGTGATGATATGTATATTTCTTTAGAATTTAAATTCAATAAGCTATGTTACGTATTACAATGTCTTAAATTGAAAGGGAATCAATCTATGATATGATATATGAGCCGCGTCACGACAAACCCAACGTCATGCGTTTGCGACCAGCATGAATCCAGACCAGCCTGCGCATCCGCGCAGTCTGATCAGGATCCATGCTGTTCGCTATCAGTTTTTCTACTTGTAATAGTGTTTGTAAGCAAACAGCATGGATCCTGATCAGACTGCGCGGATGTACAGGTTGGTTTGGACCCAAGCTGGTCGAAAACGCATTACGTTGGTTTTGTCGTGACGCGGCTCAAATTTTGTTAACTTGCAAAATATAACACAGTTGGAAAAAAGGCAAGGAATAATTTGTCATATTCTTGCATTACTATATTGAAAATTTCAGACAACCCTTACCCTGCTGGTCCCAAAACTGATAAGCCCATGCCATCAGTTTAGAATCATGCCATCTTGCACATCCGTGCAGTCTGACCAGTGTCTACAGTGACTGACCCAACTTCAAAATTTTATTTTGACGTTAACAAAGATGATAATATATCATTAAAAATGGAAACTGGACAAGTCAATTTAAGAAATTTAGGAGGTTGAAGGTTAAATGACTTGAATGTGAATTATGCCATGTTTTATGTGAAAATTGTTGTAGTGAATTCGTGACATTAAGGTCTAGTATGTCCCATTAATACTGAAACATTACTGCCTTAAAAACACGATTGTTTCTTAAAAAGACCATAGTATATAAAACGTGAACTAGATTGTGCAAGATTATACAATACCTAGTGGCCTTGTGACAACTGATATGTAATCATTTGTCTTCTGAATTTGTGAAAAAATAGTGTTGAATATAATGACTTTTTCAAACAGTGTTGTCAAATATGTAACAGAATAACAGTAATTTGATGTGCTTTTCACATTTTGTAAACAAAAATAATGAGAGTCAAATAACGGAGTATCAGAAAAAAGACGAAATACAAGAATGTGTGATGGTAACCATCTCACCATGGTTATTAACACAAATCAAAGTGTGTGCACATTAAAGAATATTCAGAGAGTGTGAAAAGACTAACAGTGCTGAAAAAGTCATGTAGCGGTTCCTCCATTTGTGCCATGCCAAACTCGTGTTTTATGTAACGTAAAAAATAAAGAACATTTATTGTTGTGGTCAGGAACTAAAGTTTTGGCTGTGTATCATGTCTTGCGAGTCTATACAATTCAATGTGTATCATTTCTTGCGATACTATACAATTCAATGTGTATCATGTCTTGCGATACTATACAATTCAATGTGTGCCATGTCTTGCGATACTATACAATTCAATGTGTATCATGTCTTGCAAGCCCATACAATTTAATTTGTATTCTGTCTTGCGAGCCTATACAATTCAGTGTGTACCGTGTCTTCTGAGCCTGTACAATTTATAATGTGTACTGTGTCTTGCGAGCCTGTACCATGTCTTGTGAGCTTGTACAATTTAATGTGTACCATGTCTTGCGATACTTTACAATTCAATGTGTATCATGTCTTGCGAGACAATACAGTCAATGTGTACCCTTTCTAGCGAGCCTATACAATCAATGTGTATCCTGTCTTGCGAGCCTATGTGTACTCTGTCTTGCAAGCCTATACAATTCAATGTATACCATGTCTTGTGAGCTTGTAGAATTCAATGTGTAACATGTATTGCGAGTCTATAAATCAACGTGTACCCAGTCATGCGAGCCTATACAAATCAATATGTACCATGTCTTCCTAGCCTGTACAATTCATGTGTACACTATCTTCGGAGATTATACAATCAATGTGTACCATGCTTTGTAAGCTTGTACAATTCAATGTGTTCCCTGTCTTGCAAGTCTATACAATTCAATGTGTATTCTGTCTTGCGAGCCTATACAATTCAATGTGTACCGTGTCTTGTGAGCCTATAAAATTCAATGTGTATCCGTCTTCCAAGTCTATACAATAAATACAATATGTACCGTGTCTTGTGAGCCTGTACAATTCAAAGTTTACCGTGTCTTGCGAGCCTATCTAATTTAATATGTACCCTGTCTTGCGAGCGTATACAATTCAATGTGTACATTTCTGTGAGCCTGAACAATTCAATGAGTACCGCGCGTGTCTTGCGATCATATCTAATTTAATATGTACCCTGTCCTGCGAGCCTATTGAATTCAATATGTACCATGTCTTACGAGCCTATACAATTCAATGTGTACCCCGTCTTGCGAAACTATATGTACTCTGTCTTGTGAGCCTATACAATTCAATGTGTATCGTGTCTTGCGAGCCTATACAATTCAGTGTGTACCCTGTCTTGCGAGACTATGTGTACTCTGTCTTGTGAGCCTATACAATTCAATGATTACTCTGTCTTGCGAGCCTATACAATTCAATGTATATCATGTATTGCGAGCCTATACAATTCAATGTGTATCATGTATTGCAAGCCTATACAAGTTAATGTGTACCATGTCTTGTGATTTCAAGCACGTGTTTCTTCCAATCATTGTACCTTTTTTGGCAGCCTTTATATTTTTACTTAAACCTTTCTTGCATAACAGAAAGAAGACTTGTTTTTAAATGTGAAATTTATTTGGCATAAAAGTAGCAAAATGTAAAAAAGTAGTATTTTGACTATCATACAAAATACTTTTTTGATTTCCAAAAAAGCAACATTTATAAGTAAAAATATGGTTCAGGTCATTGGCCAGTGTGAGTAACCTTTTGAATACTATAACAGGACACTAAAAGTACAAATCTTTAAGTGAAAAAAAAAAGAATTTCTGGGGCATAATGGGCCTTTAACGCCCACTTACATTAAGATACCATTGTTTTAGATATACGCCTATTTCTATGAATTAATAAACCAATTCTAATACAGACAGTGTTCAAAGATTTAGTGGTTATACTGTAGAGCATCTGAACAATTGAGCCGCGTCACGACAAAACCAACATAATGGGTTTGCGACAAGCATTGATCCAGACCAGCCTGCGCAGTCTGATCAGGATACATGCTGTTCGCTTACAAACCATATAACAAGTAGATAAACTGACAGCGAACAGCATGGATCCTGATCAGACTGCGCGGATGCGCAGGCTAGTCTTTTGAGATCCATTGACTGGTTCGATGTTGGTTTTCAATTATCCCTCCCTCAAACCAATTTTTGTGGGTTCATTTAATATTTGTTATTGGTGAAGCTATATTTCGATTCACCATATAACATTTAAGGTTGCTTGATATTCGGGTAACGGTCACTGTTTAATCTAGTTCCATGAGTCGGTCTGAAAACTGGTTCAAATATGCATATATCCTTTACAGTAGAGCTTTAGATGAATAAGGTTTAACATAACTAATCTGAACAACTTAGAATCAAAAGACTGGTAGGCTAAATCAAACAAGCCATCTATGCAACCGAAGTTTATACTAAACGCAGTTTTATAAATGTTCTCGGTCAGTAAGTTGTGAAAAGTGAACGTTCCAATGAAACGGTTTTTAGATATTTGACCTCTGCGTCATTTTTATGTCTTATTTTATGGGAAGACTTTCCCGTATACAGAAAGACATAGGGAAACAGAACCATGGCCGATGTTTTATTTGGGCATAAAGAACCTTAGGTTAATCAGCATTTCATAGACATCTGATATTAATTTTTAAAGTTGGACAGTGTAATGTATTTATAGCTTACGCTGTCAAACATTTTTTTTAACCGGAAACGCAATATGTGCTGACCGGAATGAGCAATTGTTGAGGGTTAAAGCGGACATGGTGGAAATAAAGTAAAACAAAGTCATAAATTCTTTAAGATCTTTATTAAGCAGACTGACACAATCAGGGAATATGAAAATTCATTTAAGAAATAAAAACAAAAACAAAAATCATTAAATGTTCAAGTCTACAGAGTTATTTGGTAGATCAATATTTGGAAGTTTGTAAAGCTTTCAAACAAAATCAAAAAATATTCATCTTTAAATTTCCAAAGTTTATAAAAAATTCTCTAAGTCACAGAAGTAGATTAAAAATTATGCAAAGGTGTTATAAAATGTTGATTTTCGTTTCTGTTGTAAGAAATACGATATTTTTTACCACAAATGTTTAATTAATTTCCTCACTTCAAACACAACTAACGCAAAATTTGACGAAAGGTGAACTAATCATGGAGAGGTGAAACTTTGGACAATAGCTTATTTATGTTTCATGCGCTTCGAAAACCTCCGTTTACATTTACACAGTTAGTGCCAAGTTACAGAACAGTTTTCGACCAGCGAAAAATAGCATGTCTTTCTGTAACTTTACACCAATTAGGTTCACAGCTATTGTTTCCGTGATTTGTATTCCACGTACCCGTCCAGCAGTCTATTTTTAGAAACACAGATTACAGAGACAAAAGACAGAGTATCGTGCATGTAAATAAGTATATTCTTGCTTATTCGTGCAAAATGACCAGCAAATTACTTAAATAGTTGCAAAAATAAAACTTAAACATGCATTATATTAAACAAAATGAATTGCAAACGTTCAAGAAATCGAAAATTTCGCTGTATTCAAAGTAGCAAACACAAAGAACTTCGTGCAGATTTTCAAAATATTTTGCAACTGAAGGAGAGCGCGTTAACAAAGCAGACTATTTTCTACAACAGCAGCCGACCAGCGGCAACATTTTTCTTCTTGAAAAAAAATCTTTGTAGGAAATTATCAACGATTGAAAACACGAAATCCATTTTCAAATTTTACACATGGAATTTATTTTCAACGAATTCGAAATAAGGAAATATTCATTTTTCCACGGATATGTAATGGTCTAGCCTCTATATATCACCATGGCAAAATGATTAAGCTTATTTTTTTATTATTTATATTGAAGTCTTAATTGGAATTCCAAAAAAGTAGGCATTTTAGTATTTTTAATAATATGTCTATTCTAAGTGCTTTCTTCACTTAAAAGTCTCTGGTGCAATTTTATGGCGTTTACTTCAGTTATTCAAAATGTTAACATTTACTTCGATGTGGTTTTCAGTTTTGATCAGTAATGCCAACCAGCGCCAAAATGAACAAAAGAATTGAACAACATCGGAGCAGACGTGTACATTTTTTTCTGAAAGTTTGCATAGCACACAATAGGAAATAATTACAATTTCCTAGGAAACTTTTTAATATTCACAAACGTTTACCGACCAGCGGTTAATATAACTAAATATATCACTTTGCGAAATTAAAAAAAGTGTACTCGATATAGCGAAATTTAATCAAAAGCTTTTCGTTTGCAATCGTGCCTGTCCAAATTGTAACGCCTCTCCACTTTATGTCGAAAAAAATACATAAAATATACAAAATGCAAAACACAAATACAAACAAATGAAGCGATATCAGCAAACACAACGTTCGGATAAACGACTCGTGTATTCGTCCAGCAAACACACATTGAGTTATTGAAAATGTCAAAAAGAAATCTCCCTAAAAGCACACATTCTACATTATTATGCAAGTTTGTGACATTCATGTGCCTGACAAAGAGTAAACTTATGCTGTCCGACATTCTATCAACATTTTCTACCGCTGACCTGCAGCGGAGTAATGCTTCGACAGGAACAACAACGCAAATCCATCAGAATGTCCTACAAGAAAGTGCTTGCAAATAATGAACAAATTCATGACAAAACAAGAATATTTAACATCAATTACAAATCACTACGCATGATTATAATACCTAACTACTCAAAACAAAATGGCGACCAGCGCCAAAAAATTAATTCCATGTAAGAAAGTAATAAAACAATCAAATAACATACTATAGCGTTAAAGTTAATGAAGCTACAATAAAGGACTATTTACAGTAAACAGAACTTAATCATTTTTACGTACAAAGTAAAAGGTACGCTATTTATGAATAAGTTATAAAAGTCTTTTATCTTTAATGGCTTGAAAAGCCCGCACATCCAATTGTCGTTCGCTGCAAAGGCACACAATGTTATAAAGCACATTTTTTTTTATCTATTAACGGTTACCTTGCTTACAATATAACTTTGGAGAGATACATCATCGGACTTCAGTTTTTAATATGCTAACTGGCTAAAATACGTCCTGCGCATTTGTAAAATATTCATGAACCAGCATGACAAAATGATAAATTCATCGTACAGATTAAAACTATTTCCCGCCAAAATCATGTGACGTCTTTGGTGAGATGACAACGATGACAATGACTCATGAGAACTATTAACAGGGAAGTTGTTTATCCTCTTCCGCCCGCAGAACAGGAAGTAAACTGTGACACTATTCTAAGCGCTGGACTGGTTGTCTCCTGACCAGCAGAAGTCAACAGGACGCTCCAAAATGGCGACATGGCAATATGCCATACACAAATAATGACTGTAAGTAACACTTACACAGGAAGCCTACTGGGTGTTTTTATGAGATTTGAAACCTTGGGTACCTGAAAGAAGAATGAAAAAGAACACTTATTTCAAGTCTTCTAACTTTGAAACTCCATAAACATTCTTTGTTTCTTTTTTATTACTTCATTTTATGTTTACATAAAATATCAAATATCAGACTTAAAATCTTAGAAGCGTGCATTAGTTTGTCTCATTTGTTTTCTTATGAGTCTGTCTTTGATGCTTTCTCTGTAATTCATTATTCATGCTTATTTACTTTTTATGATGCATAATTGTCTAAGTACAAAGGTCAACTTACCACATGGTTCCCATGACTGCTGCAGGAGTTTTTTCAGATGAAAGAGATCCTCCTCCTCACGTGTCTTCACCTCACATGGCATGGTCTCGATGTCGGCCAGCGACATATCTAACGACATGCTGATTGGTTCGAGCAGCCAGCTATCGGGTTCTAAGATATCATCTCGACCTTCATAACCTGGTGACGAAGACCCTGGACTCATCTCGGTATACATCTGGTCGAGTGAGTTCTGTTTGAGGCAAGGAGTTGAACCAAATGATCTTGATACAGGGGATGACTCAGACACGCTGCATGTATATGACTTTGGAGATGCAACTGGGGAGACCGACTCGGTAGAGTAAGCTGGTGACATCATGTTGGTTTCCGGACCAGCGGTATCAACAAGTCCCAGTAACTCTTCCAGGTCGGTACATTCTTCAAGAGTAAGCTCCTCCTTCACGTTGCATGTGCGTTGCGGCAATGGCTGAACGATTGGGGGAGGTGATTGTGACGTCATAATGAGACCATTTTGTAACGCAATACGAGAATGTGCGTTTTGCTTTCCTACTGCATTTTGTATAGTTGGTTCTGGAGAAAGTGGCTCCATCTTAATTTCAATACAACCTTCTTTCTCAATCGGACGAAGATCATCAAAAAATGAATCAACAAAGGTGGCATCTATAACAGGCAGGTTCTTTTTCTTGTTCGGTACACCGTTTATCGGCTTGGCAACAGGCGTCTCAAAAATCGTCTGGTTTTCTTTCAGCTCATTCAGTCTGCCCATAACGTATGATGTCAGCTGCTTAATTTCTTGTGTTTCTTGTTTTACTGGAACAACTGAATGTGGCTTTGGTGAATTTGCCGGCGACGGGTCTGGAGTAAGATAACAGTCTGGTATGGTGACCTCTGGGACTACTTGTTCTAGGGTACATGTCGGAGCTAATTTCTGCACGACTGCTGGAGTACCAACCGGAGCAATAGCATTTACAAGCATGGCTTTCTTTTGTCTGATTGCTTGCACGTGGTCAATTGGAGCAGACTGGTATATCATCGGAAGGCTGTCACCACCGTAGACGGGAATTCCGTTCCCAGAGCCCAGAATATCATTTGCGCTTCCCCTGAATACATTCACATTCATCACATAATGAGTCTGGCCAGACGTGAAATCCTGAAAGCCTCCATCTGGACTTTCACTTGACATCACCCTTGGTATTTTGTTTGGCTTGCATGATGAGATGAAGTTTTCTTGTAGCTTCCTCTTTAGAGCTTTGATAGTGCTTGTGTGACCATGTGGTGGCTGCTGACTCATTTCATCTAAACCTGGCATGCCATACTTTTGATGTTGCTGTGGCTGTTGCTGGTACTCATTCGGACTTGGTCGAGTTCCAAATTGGTATCTCTGTTGATCGGAATAGTACCCTTGTTGTGCATGTGGCTGTTGCATGAAGGCATGTGTTTGATGGCGTCCTAACATGTCTGGGTCAATAATTTGCTGAAAGTGTTGGAAATGGTGGCCACCAAAGAATATGTCTGGTGCTCTTGCGGCATACAAAGCAAACAACTGGCCCTGGATCTTGAATTGCTTCGCTTCCTCCTCACTAAAATACACAAAACATTCAACTGTAAACAATGAAAGCTAAAATCCTTAAGAATGTGTGTAACGGAAAAGAATGTAATACGATAAATAAATGTAATGTCGGAAAAAAATGACAGTTTATGCCTTGAGATTATATTTTTCGTAATAAAAATGATTATGGTTTTCAAGACGAAAACAGAAGCCTTATTGTTTCCGACTTTCATAAGTTTGGCTTACCTGACAACTTGATTAATGCAGACGATAACAGGATCGTCACTGTTTGAAACAAGCGCCTGTCTAACATGCATCACAATGTTGACCCAGATAACCTTGTTTGTGTGCGTGAGCATGCGCACTGTCATCATACATCCCATCTCATGGCGAGATTTTATCACTGTAATACAGATGGGAATGAAATATGAAACATTTTAATAAAAGAGAGTAAGTAAAAGAAAACTTGACAATCTTCCAATTTTTATTTTTCATTTTGTGTGATTTACTTACAGCATCAGATATCTTTGGAGAATTTTACACGTACATGAATAAATGCTACTCAAGTAGCAGTATGTAAAAATCCTACATAACTGATAAAACATACACTGAATTACATTACTGGTAAAACTTACACTGAATGTGTTTAGCCCGTGCCTCTGTGAGATCCTCGGGGTGAAGCATAGAGTACCAAGATTTGTTTTCAATCTGCTCGTTTGTTATTCCCAGATGAAATTCTCCCCTGAAATACAAATGCAACCTGTATTTTATGTCCACAAAGTTCACTAACCGTATTATTGACCTTACAAAGAGAGAAAACTATGAGTTTTGATTTTATAACCAACTTTATGTTATGTTTTATGAATAACATGGTCTTTTTCATAACTATCTAATCGATAAAATGAGTTTCGTTGTTAATGTATAGGGACTAATAAACTTACGTTTCGGTAAGTTCAATGAATGACATGTCAAGTTTGTGAACACTTCTGAAGACAGTGGTGTTGTTTTGAATGAGGCTTTCTTTAACATCTGGTGTGATCAATGGGGTACATAGAGCCATAAACACGTGCTGCTCAGGAACGCCAGCCTCTTTCTGGCTTACTGGCACGAAATGACCCTTCACGTGCATTACCTGCAAGTACATAAAAAATGGGAATATTAGATAATAACAATTTTAAATATCTCACCAAGAATCCATAACCACACATGCATTCTTATCTTTCGGGTTGGAAAAGGCCAACACTTTATTGTTTTCGGTTAAAAGTTACATTTTTACCAAATAAAATAAAGTTAGGTTATATGTTGTTGTTCTCTTTTTTTTAAACGTCAAGACCTTATATGTTATCCTCTTTAAAATGACATACTATTTATGCATCTGTAGATAAACAAGGTCCTCGGATAGCTAGAACTTTATTTTGTTCGGCCTTAATGTGTCTGCAAATTGGAAATCTTTTGTTGGCACATCACTAAAGCATGTCTCTGTAAAGCGTATTCTTTATGACTCGTGTAATTTATCTAATCTAGGGCGGACTGGTATCGATTTTACCCCATTACTCTGATATATGTCATTAATTCTTCGGTTCAAAAAAAGGATGGTAGCTGATTAGGCTAATTAATGATGACGTCATTAAACCAGGTGCCAGTTTATGCGGAAGAAGCAATGTGTGGTCTACTTGTTTTTCAGGTAGGATAACTTAATTAAAACAATGTGAAATCCCTTGCTAATTAATGCAAATTACAAAGTTGAACGTTTCTTTGTTTTCGTGTTGTTTTTTTATCACTTTATTTTACCCGCAAACAGTTATATTGTCACCTACATACAACATTAATTATAAATGAAAACTGGTATTTAATTGTGACATTCATTTTTCCGCGTATGTAAGCATTTGCGGTTCCGTTGCTAGGTATGACGTCATTATTCAAAAGTTAATATTTCCGGTTGTGGGGGGAAAATGTATTATTTTCCAACTCATTTATATTGTTTAAGTTATGTATGCAGTATACAGTGTGGTTTAATGTTGAATGCATAATTAAGCTAGCAAATAAGATTATGACAGATTTCCGCCAGGGGGCAAAACGGACATGTGTCTGCACAAGTGTTTGTTTTATTATGACTTTATATACGAAACTTTGCTATCTTTGCTTTAATAATTTCTGAGAGTTAGTAAATGAAGAACAATAATGTTGCTTTTTTTTCATTCAATTAAATGATTTTGAAATCTTATTAACTTTGGCGTTCATTTGTATTTGAAGTTTATCTCTTTAATCAAACTAGATCATTCACAACATAGACACACATATACATGCATGAATATTACTGATAGACACAACACGGTATGTTTCGTGAAACACGAAAACTTTTATAAAGCAGTAAATACATCACATATATATATCTTTACTAATTTAGTATTAAAAACAATTGGGAGGGTGGGGGCATAATTCGAACATTTTCGGTCTAAGTTATAATCTTGACAAAAGATTACATTATTATCAGTTTAATCGTACTACTCGAACATTTAGATAAACATTTTCAAGTATGGACTTTTATTAATTTAGATTTTTCATTCCACTTGTGATTTTCCGAAAACTTCCCCTACGAACAATCCCATACAATATGATGTATTATTCGGTGACAAGTGATATATCTTAATTAGAATATATAAACCAGTGTAAGTGTTTTATGACGCTGCGTCTGTCAGATTTGTCATTGGTTTGACAGATGACTTTATGGCGCAGACGAAAACTTTATAGGTAAACACTGAACTTCGTAAAGATGCTTACTAGCACAACACAACCTTACAGCATGTTTTCTCTATAATTTCAGGGATAAAAAATATGACCCCAATAAACAGTCGGTTCTTATTTAAGAAATTATCAAAAAATCTTACTAGTATATGAAAAAATATTTTAGGTCGATAACTTTATTAATATTTCATATCTCAAAAAAATCATAAAACTGACTTTAAAGAAACAAAAATAAATTGAAATGATCAAATTGTTAAAAAAAAACCCTATGCATGTACACTCAACGTGGCAATTGTTCTGTTAATAATGTTGCATAACAGACAGAAATCGTCTTCTTAAGGTTTTTCATAAGGATTTTAACATAATATTGCATCATATATTATTATTGTTCGGTATTATTTTGTATATCACCTAACAATCGATACTCCTTGTTTACAATGACCATATGTTTAGCTGTTATCTGTATATTACCCGAAAACAAAGAGTATAGCGGAAATGAACTCTTCATATGTTATCATTATCACACATTCTGTTTTGTTTGTTTAAGTTACGATACCACAGTTATCAAACATGTTTCTTGCTCTCAGAGAAAATTAAACAATACAATAAAAAAGCACTGTATAAACCAGTGTTTTAGGGAATGGCTGATGTCAGAATCAGGTGTTATACCTAGGCTGTATTCTGTTGCTGGCACATTGTCAGAGTTTACAGCTTCTTGTTATAGCTGAGGTAAAACAGCGCTAGGAATCAATGGTTAACTTGGCAACACTGTACGCTAAACTTGGCAACGGTTTACAATAAACGTAACCAATGAGACTTGAGGGTACGTTAACAGCGTCCTTCGACTAGACAACTAGACTAGGCAAGTTAACGAACCATTATTAAGCAAATTAAGATCCATTTATCATTTGAACTAAATGTCAAACATAGGCAAATTGCCATTACAAAGCAAACTTTATTATAATCTCCTGTGCTATAAGCGATACTATTGTAAAGTTGCCCGTATGTGAATTGTATTCTATAATAGCATGCGACAAATGATCAATTTTGTATCTCATTTTGTGAGTTTATGAATCGGTAAATTACTTCACTTTTGTCTCGTAGTAAAAGAGCTTACTAGGTTAAAATTGTCGTAGAAAAGCAATATTAGATTTAAGTTACCATAGTAATAATTTCAGTAAAATATAGTATTTCTAAATTCGAGGGCGGGAGTTATTTACATTCATTTTAAAGCAAAAGTAATTATCTTTGATAAGTATTGTAAAATGATAGAAGATTTCAAACAGTTTCACACTAATAGTTGATGTTTTACCTCGAAGCGAAAACCTACGCAAAAACTAAAACGCACCTTTGTTAATTACGAAACTATAGCTCTAGGTACTCTGTATCCGAGATAAACGGCCTGGGTAAAATAATTAGTATATAATACAAATTGTACTCAAGCTGGAAATATGTCAAAAATGGATTTTCCAGACAATTTACTACACAATCATAACATATGTTAGGAAGCTTGTATAACAAACCAAATGAACGCTATGGTGCAAAGCTCAACAAGAACCAAATATCACGTTTTGAAAATTAATTTCCGCGATTTAAATCAATGTTCTACTCTTAAAGAAATCATGACCTTTTAATTTCCTGTTAAAATTAATTTCAGTTTGGCCTTTAGTTGAAATAAAGCTACAATATGATACTTTTCTTAATTATTCTTTTTTTTTTGACTTGTGGTATATAAGAATTATATTGACAAACAGATCTACTTGTGTAATAAATAAGATATATCTGTATGTATGTACTCCCTTTGCGGTTCTGTGGGAAAGAAAACATCTTGCTATCTTGCTTTACAGTAACAGATGTTTTTCATCTCAGCGTATCATATGCTACTGCCTTGCCAAATTACCCTTATCTCACAAAAAACTGTACGAGTGTGTGTCACACGCATTGTTACCTCTCCGAAAATTTCTTGGAATGTTACTTTAAAACCGACATCTGTCTGGTTTCTTTTAATATGTATGAGTATTTAGACATAAACAGACGATTCTTTTTCATTGCCGATTTTGCCAAATAAATTTTAAACTTTGTACATGTCTTCAATTTTTCAAAAATATCGAAATATTACGAAGACAGATACCTAGGTTTAACCAGAATTCATGTGTATATAAGAGAAGAATGCATCTATTGATAAAATATAATCATGCCCATGGTCTCTAACAGACATACTAACGTGTTGGCCTAATACGAAGATTTCTTATACCAAATTAATGCTGCAGTCAATCTAATGCAAAAGTGGCGAAAATAAGTATCACGGTTAATGTATTTCTCAGTACATACAGCATAAGTTACCATAACAGTCCATTAAAATGTAATGTGATGCATACCTTGACGTCGCCGAAGCCACCTTGTCTTTTTAATGTTCGTGACATATTCATGCGACAGAAGAATGAGATCTTTCTATTGTGGTGACCTTCTGCTGCGGAGACACCATGTAACAACTGCGCCTGCACAGTGCCATGGTCCCTCTTATCTACTATATCAAAAAGGCTGTCACCCTGTGTTTTCATGTCCACCTGAAATCATCGAAATCAATGTCTGATTTGTCGAATCTCTTTGTTTAAGTTTTTGTAGTAAATGTACAACTACTTTTGTAAATGAAGAAAGGTTTGTAAATGAAGAAAGGTATATGGAAATATATAGAATGATTAAAAATTGTAACTATATTTACCATAGAATGGCCGAGGTATTCCGTAACATTTTCCGATATGTATACCAGTTTTCCATCCCGTGTTGTTACAAGTATGAACCCCGTAAGTGCCTGAAATGAATTAAACAACATAATAAACTTAAATCACCTTGACCCTGCAGAGACCAAAAGCGACGAACCTTTGCAGGCCAAACACTATACTGTTTGCTGACTATTTTTCATATTGATATCCCCTAAATTGATTACGGATAATTGAAAATTTGGAAGCTGCATGACCAAGTTCAATTAAGAAGTCAAACGAGAATGTTAATATGGTTTTCATTTTACCCGAGCAGGCTTCTTTAACACAAACAGAACCAACTTTTTTGTGTTATCTAGATCTACTTTAAAGTGTTTTTAATCTTAGATTTCATTGGACTTATTGTACTAGTTATGAAAGGCGCGAAATATACCGCTGCAATACATACACTGCACAAGAGACCTACAATAAAGGGACACTTAAATTTGATTAAACATCAATATCGGACCACTTTAGGTACATTATTAATAACAGCAGTATAAATCGTTAACAAAGAAAAATGTTTGTCATAGATTTTGACTATGTACGCAATCGAATATATAAATCTTTAAATCTGTTTATACAAGGTTCTATATGACCGTCAAATACGATTATTACTTCATAGATCGGTCCTAGTGACAGGCAAACATTGTATAAACATATTACTTTAAACAACATTCAAACATGCGTTTTATATTTCAGAACTATTTTTCCCAGGGCCTATTTTCATTGAACCGTGCAGCGATCATCCGACGTCATCAAATTCTAAAAATAGACCCTTTTATTTGTTTCGCTAAAATTTATGCGCTAATGGAGAGAGAAAATATGCGATACAGACGATAATTTGAAGTGGGAAGGTTGTATTCGTCGTATTTCTAATGACTTTATATAAATGTCTAGATTTTCCATAACATCGAAAGTGCTTTTTTCTTATTAATCTTAAAACCCATCTTTTATTACTTTTCATTGAAATGATCATGGTTTTAGACATAGCCTACTTAGTACTTAGAGGGTGAGCTATTTGATTTCGTAAAAATTGTGCTTAAATGTTTAAAAAAAATTTAAATCATAAAGATGGAATATATGTTTTACTATGTTCAATTCATCTTGTGTTACAGACATAAACTTATTTTGTCAAGTGTAAGCGTTTATAACCGTCATTTTTAGAGCGTTTTCCTTGACCCTGATTGTTTAAAGGCATACGCATGAACTCGTGAATATATTTCACTTTCTATCTATTGTATAAGTTGTTTCAAAGTAATGTTAACTCATTCAACTCATTATTTCTTCAGAAAAATAAATCTATTACATGTATATATTTTGTACTAAAAATTAGTGATCTGTATAACTGTATCCGACAAGCCAACATCTTTTTATTTATGGTTACAGAAAATTTAGTTTTATCAAAAAAGATAACAATCTAATATCACATTTATATGCATGTTCATGATACTTTAAATAAATGTGTACTTAGTCAGCATTTAGTCATCGTACTTTCGTCCCAATTTTGTACGAACCAAAGTGTGTGAAATCAGGTGACATCGTAAACATGTCATCCACTGATTTATGTATTCATAACCTTTGCCCTCTTTACATATTATCTCTATTAACTTCTTCGTTTGTTTCTACACTGTGTCAAACACAAATATTTAAAGTATCAAAAATTCATAAAGGATTCAAATCAAAAAATGAAAATACTTTAATGACGTAGGAGTCGTCCAATAATGGCGTTTCAATGTTTGCATTATTGGAATAGTAGGTTATTAAATATGCAGAGGTTTATATTGACGTAGTATGATACCACGTGGTTAGCTGTCGTATTGGGTTATATATATTAGTGTCTAATTGCCCATAAATGTACCCGTTCAGCGAAACTTGAAACCGGAGGAAAGGAGTGTTCGCGTTTCAAAACCCGTTTTAAATTACTTTGAAGGGGGAAAAATGTAAGAAAAAGTGTCAAACCCTGATTTGAATTACAGTCAATGAATAAAGATCTAGTCCTTTTAAAACATTTCACAAATATACACATAGTTATTTCTTAGTTATGTCTTTTTTGGTCCAAAGCGGAAAACATTAACAACACTAAAATGTACAGTCAATTTCAAGATTTTATTTCCGATCTTTCCAAAAAAAAAAAAGAAAAAAGGGCGTCATAGAATAATTTTTATCTGTGTAACCTTTTATGGTAATATTACAAATTGATGAAGCTGTATTTCTCGGAAACTCATAACAGTATAATTATTAACACAGATTTATTTATAATAACCTTATAAACGGCAGTGGGTGACCACAACACCACCGAAACCAGCATAATGACTGTAATAATTTGTATCTACTTACCGAGGAAAACTCGCAAGGCACTTCAATTGAGCAACGATTGGTCGGGAGCACTGAAAAAAAAAGAATATATTTTTAACAAATGTTCAATTGTCAATCTCCGTTTTTTAACTACCGACTGAATAATTTGACAAAATTTTGAAGTGTCTACTCGACAACATCAAAACAGTGTGTACTACATTTCAAGACTATGTCAGCATGCGTCTAATGTGAAGGTCAAGAGGCAAGCGCCCGAGAAAAGAAGATTTGAGCGTGCATGAAACCACTAATGGTTGCGACAGTGATTCAGACAGTCGCATGCGCAGTTGATCAGGACATGCTGTCGCTATCATTTTCTACTTTAATAGAGTTGGTAGGAACAGATCTATAGACGCGCGAATGCGCAGGCTGTCTGATCAGTGTCGCAAACCATTAGATTGTTTTCATGACGCGGTATACTAATCGTAGCATACGCTATATATAATTACATTTGTCAGAGGCATTCCACAATCAGTAAGTTTTATCTAGTCAGTTTTATCTAGATAGGTGCAGTAATTACATCACAAGTTTACTTCCTCGTAAACATCCTGTTTCAGATAGTTTCATTTATACTTTTTTAAAAGCTTTTATTAGTTATTACCAGTGATAGATGATACAGCTAATGTAGTAAACATACAATATACATGTTTTTATTGAAATCTAAATATATTCTCACATTGTTCAGGAAGTTGTTTTAACATACATGTATATATATCATCATCATCACGAGGTATTCTGGAAATAACTGGGCTAAGGTCGTACAGTAGGATGGTTATAGACAAAGAAGCTAAAATGGCATTAGGCGATCTAAAATGGTATCATTTATTATCATATTTTCTCAGTGGACCTCTTCGTCTTTTCATATAGAGCTATATATATGTCACTTTTCTTCTCCGAATTCAACATCATTTAGACACATGGGAGATCTGTTACGTATTTAGCCTCTCTTGGGATAACCTCCACACTTTGTAGAAACAGATCGTTACACGAGAAATTTAACATATAGAACCTAAAATAGCAAAACATTTTACTCACTTTTCTGTAGTATATTACATTTGCGTATGTAGACACAACTCAGGGACATAATCTGAAGTTGTGAAAGCCTTTGTCTGGCCGACTCCGGCAGCGGGAGCAGGTCCCGCATTGTTCCTATCTCACCATTGATCTGATCTCTACGCTGTTTTGAAGCCCCTTTGTTCGACCTGAAAATAGATAAAAAAAATTATTTTTAGCCTATTTCAATCATTTCTACAATCTGTGTACACTAACAGTTGTCTTTTTTGTTGTTTTTTTGTGTGTTTTTTTGACGACCGCCGACCCAGAACTTCTAATATGTGACTAAGATTCACCATGTCAACAAGTCCATCGGTTTCAGCATAGTATTCTATTTCATCCAAAGTTGTGAAACAAAATTAAAAAATTGCACCCATCCTAATTTTTGAAAAACATTCAAAAGATTTCGTCATGAAAATATGAATTCTATAATTTTCCAATTCCTGAATTCTAAAAATAAGAATTGATCTGAATTCAATGACAGTAAATATTCTCATTCAAAGAGCACGAGGTTGTTTTAAGATGAGTGTTTAAACATAATTAAAATAGAAATTAAATGTTTGCTTTATAACAATTATATTTAAAATTTCCCCGAAAACTGTCCTACGTCACAAACCAGTCTCTAAATACACGTTTCTACACGATACCTTTTCCCCCGCATATCTCAAAAAGTTTATAAATTTCATAAAATTGACTGACTGCTCATGAGAAATAAACATGAAGCATCCAAAATTAACTTATACGTGTTCCAACTGATTTATATTGTACATGCTTATTAAAGAAATTACCATAAAGGACAGTAGATTTAGACGCTGGTTTGACAGTATAAGATTCAAACTTGATGATATTGTATTAATAGATCTAGTGTTTAAATTTATTTTCATGGAAACTACGATAATAAAGGAATAATTAATTACAGTCGTTTATTAACGCCTTGAAGTGTGTCTTATATGCTTGTGTAATAACCTTAGTGTCAGCAGATTTGTCCTGTAACTTTAGATTCCTTTCAGAAGGAAAATTACAACGTACTTGGTAAACATAACAATTATTATTACTAGCAAAGAACTAATGAGTTCGAATTGAATTACAATTTATTTCAATACTATAAAATCATAACTGGCTAATTAAAAGCCTAATATAATTATGTTGGAACAACTTTCATTTATATTTGATATTATTCTCAATCAACGCATATCTAAAACAATATCTTATTAACAATGAATTATGAAAGCCATACACATATCTTATATCATCTTTGTTATTAATAATACCATATCGCGTGCTTAAACAAAACATAACAGAAGTCCTGTACATGTATAAAAATATACACTTTTAAGATATCGATGGCATAAAAACATTGGTCACAATGGTTATATAATAACCTGAGAGTATTCTGTGACCAAGCATATGGTATTATATCAAATTTTAAATCTTATCAAACTAAAATTCCTAGGTTGTTTAAACACTCCCTGTGTTTATTATTAAAATAAGACAAGTGTCTGGGAATGACCCTAGCCTCTGTTAGATAACACGTTTAAAATCTGTACTCCCGGACTCCGGTATACAATAAATCCTTGACATGACCTCGTTTGAAGAAATAATCTTAAATCTAACATTCTATGCACATTTTAAATACAAATATGAACAACAATTATAAATTAAAGGAAAAAAAAACTTATTTTAAAAAAATACAAACTTGTATGCTTAATTCCAAGCTGCACATTCTTCCAAGATTATATTTTTGTACAAAATGAAATAAGAAAAAGAAAAGAAAATCCATTTAAAGAAACCAGTAAACAGTCGAAAAAAACTGACTTTTTGAAAAATTATAATGAGCAATTTCTGTGCAGTGATTTCATCAGAATTGTACATTTTTTTTTCATATTTCCAGTTTGCATACACACAAATGCAAGAAAATCTGCATTGCATAAAAAGAAACAAGCGAATTGATATATGCTACTGAGACACGCTGAAATTTCATATATTCATAGAAACTTACCCCAACAGATCCATCCTTAACGAAAGTTAATCAAAGATATGATACTGATAAAAGCTGATGCAGTACTAATTAGATAATCATGAAAAGTCAAGATCTCTCAAGTACCTATGTCAAAAATATATCATGATTTTTTGATGCTGCTTTGGAGCTTCTTATTATAACGTGACAAAACCTAAAACAACATTTTGTCTTAAAATCCGACACTTTCCGAATACATGTATAACTGTATGTACCTACGCCGCAGCATGGCATTTATGTTTTTGCATACATTATCCTATGCCACACGTGCTACGTATACATCTTTAAGTGATTATTCTAGCTTTAATTCTATGCATTCTTGCAATCTTTAGAGTTTTACTTGGAGCTTTTATTGAAGAGAGACGGCATAGTTTTTTTAACCCACAGTTAGACGCTTTCCCATCGTAATTTTCATGAAAAACACATGTTGATTTTTTTTATTCATCATATCTGTACAAAGGTTTTTCAGGGTTTTCAGACGTGCTTTCTATTTATAGAGATTGTGTCATTTTTTTGCGCAAAGAAATGGGCTAAACATATGGTATGAATAAACCTAATTTTGTTTAATTAAAGTCTGTGGTTACAAATGGTGAACTAATTGATATTAATTCTTTATGCATAGTGTGTCTACGTTGAGAGCTGGAACAATTAAGTTTTCTTTCCATAATAGATGCATTAGGGACTCATTCAGCGACCTTTGCCGCGCGGCATAGAGACCACTTTGATATAAATCTATGACAAGAAGACAGAAAACTTGATTCTCGAAACGAATCGTCTAAATCTGATGTCTGAATCGTTTAAGTGTCTTACTCTTGCACATCATTTGCATTCATAGATGGCTATGCCATCTTATCCAAAAGAGGTATAGACAGTGGTTTAAGTATTAAAACTGTTTAAGATTAAATACTTTAAAATGCATGTACTGAAATGAAACTTTTACAAAAGCTATAATAATTGATCTGACAGACAATAGTAGGTCAGTATAGGCCACCGTTATCTATCTTGTCTAGAGATAGGACAGTATTAAGGTCATATATACATGTAGGTTAAATCAAAATTATACGAATAACCTATATTAATCAAAATCATTACATATTGACAAATAGACCTATTATTCACAACCATATACCTTCTTTGACCATTTTAATAGTCTGTTTAGCTAAAGACAATCACACTATTTGTAAAGGATATTCATGTTAATTTGGCAAATATACATAACCTCAATTGAGTTAAACGACTAAATCACTTAACAACACTTAATATTACATAAAACATTTAAGCATATTCAGTAATAACAACTCATGAATTATATCTAAAGTAATCAACACAATTGATATGACGTTATAAGTAATATCGACCTTTAAACTCGGTCGCATAAGGTACGTAATTTTCTGGTTTAAAGGCATTAAGATCTGGAATCTGTACAACTTTCACGTTTATAAAGATAAGGAAACTGGAAAATCTCAACCAGGAGCCTCAACATAATTACAATGTATTAATCATACGTCTACGCCCAATGATATGCGCTTTAAAGTAGTGCGTACACACATCTTTTGGCTGCCATTTTGATAGTGTATATCATTTACCTTTAATGTAAAGATTTAACGTTAAATAGTAACTAATGTAAAACATACCTTTCCAAGTCTAAAAGAGCCAGCTCTTCTATTGGACCTGGTGCCATATTTCATGAAGATTTAGCACATATAATACACAAAATAGAATAAAATGTCACAATTTACAGCGGACCAGCCGCTGCCTATATTATCCAGCTACTGTTTAAGCGATCTAGTTCGACCGGAGTTATTGTTAGATTCGATTGACGTATTTCATTTGCGTAAGCGTCATGTGACATAGAAACAGGCATTTTATTGGTTAACAGGTGTCATGTGGTTAAGATACAAGCATATAATTGGTTAACATCTGTCATGTGGTTTATCTCACCTGTTCATCTTTTGAATGAATTACTGCTATATCGTACCAGCGCAAAATAAGTGTTTGTATATATTCTTTTCATAATTAGCCGACTATTCAACCGTATTTAAGTTATTCAAGGGTAGCCATTATGTTAACTTAAATTTCTATACAGCTAATACAACCTTTACTTTATCATGTACGCGACAAAAAAATGAAAGGTATACAGTATACAAGTTTACTGCATTGCGCATTGACCTAAATTTCTGTACAAAACGGAAATATATTGTTATTGTATACCATTCTTAGCGCAGACCAAGCAAGCCTGTAAACGATACATTTTATAATTACAATAGGAAATATATTTACTTAATGGCTAAACAACCATATAGTCTCAAAAAATGCAATCTTAATAAAGATCTAATGTAAAGTATAATAGCTTCGATTAATATGATGATAGCAAATACCCGATATCGTCATAATGGGTTATTTGTCATATTTAATGCATGCATTCGACAATGCATCATTATAAATGAGAAAAACGGGTCATGTAGATAAAATACATGCATGCAGGCTGAACTTAAAGTTGCATTTTATATTTATGTTAAATTGTGCACTATTGACAAATCTTTATAACCACTATACGTACTGTTGTTTAACTACTACTCTACATTTATACGCTTTCATGCGTAAAATGTGTTTTAAATATTCAGAAAGAATATATTAGATCTATATTTACGTTAATTTTCTTTATAATTGAGATTCGGATACATTTTATAATGTATAATGAAATAATATGAAATCAATAATAATGAAACGTAATCTGAATATGTACCGGTAATCTGAATAGAAAAATATGTTTGTCTCCTTGAATAGCACGTATTATTTGCTTTTTTTACACAATTTTGTGTTATTTAGAGTAAATGTAATAGGTATAGAATTACGCATTGTATGGAACGCAAAATTGGCAATAATACGTTTATAAATAATAATACCACTCTCTGATTATTTGAACATCTCTCGTTCTAGCGCTCAAATATTGATTTCCACATCTCTCTTCTCTAATTCTACAATTTGTTTTGAAAAAGTTATTATGTATTCTGAATTTCACCGCTGATCAATTGTCTATGTGCACATAGGTTCAATTACATTTGTGTTTTAATTCGATTCTACCCCTCTTTTAATAAATCAAAGCAAGCACGGAATTTATCTAACCTTTCTAAAATAATTATACATTTATATGTGCAATGTTTAATTTCAGAGAGGTCCAACTATTTTAAGAGATCACTAATTAAATTGCATCGCACATTGATCGTTCAAATAGATTAATAATGATCTCTGCAAATGGATAAAGAGACGATTGGGGGAGAACTTATATTAATTTAACGTTTCATATTCTTAGGGACTGCTGTTATAGGTAGATAGGTAGACAGTAAATTTTAGTAAGCAAGTACGAGTGCATAGTAGCATATAGTGCATTGCAATACAGTATAATTATTTTCATTTAGAAACATTTTCAGTTTACACATTATTCACTCATGCACTATTCATATACTACTAAGAAAAGGTACCTCCTTTCTTGATTAAAGTGAATGGTAATCAAACATCAAACGTTTTGTGAATATCTATGTTTTATACAGTTAAGATGACTGATGCAGTTGGTCAAATGAAACAATATAACTGTTACTTTATTGGTGGGCATTATGGTATTCAGCGATACCTAAGAACATGTACTTTTTGTGATAAAACTATAATCGGTGATGAGTTTCACTATCTTTTGGGGTGTTTATTATAATGACAGTAGAAAAAGATAATATTGATAGGAGATATCGGCAACATCCTAGTGCATTTAAGTTAAATCAACTTATGAATTGTTGCAGCAATGCAAAATTAACCAAATTAGCATTGTTTTAGAGTCATCATGTAAGTTGTCAAATAGTTGGTTACTGTTGTTTTGTTCATCGTCTAACATTACTTTTCATACTATTATTCTGATACCATTATTAGCATTAGAAACAAATTAATAATATATTTGCACTTGTAAGGACAGGCTGGCAGTCATGATGTGGGTTTGGGGTTGTATATATAGGGCTGTGAACTGTTCAAATGTTTATTCTCTTTTTTTCTTTGTTGCTGTATCTTGTCACTTTCTTTGAACAACTTTGACAATTGTGTTTATGTTTTCTTTTATGTTCTCATCTAATGCAAATAAATGCCTGATGAATGAACAAAAGCTTGAAATCTTGGCCATTTTGTTTGTTCGTGCTTGTTTTCGATATACTTGACTCTTTGATTTCTTACTAATATTGTCACCTTACAAGCAAGATGCCACTCTCCTTGTCCCCTGTCCATATCAGAGTTTTGTGGTATTCAACCTTCATTTTTCCATCCACAAGGATAAATACTACTTTAACTGTTTTCTTTAAGATCAGTGATAGATTTGCGATGTCTTCAGTCATCATATCGTGTTAATATCAGTTGAAATTGTTCTGATTTTTATACAAGATATACGGAAAATGAGGCATATTATTTAAAATTGCAAATAGAAAAGTTGTAGCAATAAGTGAAAGAAAAATAAAGATAAATATGTTACTGTAGTTTACTAGTCGTTGAAATGTTTAACGGAAATATTTAAGAAAACTTTCCATTTATGTGTGTACATTTAATATCACTATAAGCCTAGATTGTATGATTTAATGTACACACATATTTTGAAATACATATGTGTAAGTACAAACGTACTTGTATATAGAGCTACAAATTATATTGTTTATAAGTTTATGCGTAACGCAACACTTGCTGTTTGATGAGATACGAATGCTCTCTATTATGGTATACACACATGTTGATAAAATAAATACAAACAAACTAAATTCAAGGTCATAGTAAACATCCAAACATTGTATGATGTAAATGGTTTGTACTTAATATCATGTTGTATGCACTTCAGTATAGTGAACGATAAGTACGTATAATACTCTTGAAACGTTAATAAAATGATACATCAATCCATTTTCTTTTAACATTTCTTGGCATTGATTTTGTGAGGGATATGAATAAAGCATTATGTATCATATATATTTATCATTATACTAGTAAGTCAAAACGTATGTTATTTACAAAGAGAATGTTGTTTTCATCAAAAGGCTTGCCAAAACTGATGTCAAGGAAGTTCTTTCATTATTCTACATACTTTCTTTTTAGTATGTTGATTTGGTACGGGATAGGTATCGCTGTCCTTTTATAGGTGTCTCTGATTCTGATTTACGTGGAGGTATGTATGTACTCTAAGTGTTCATCCGCCATTTCAGGCACTGCGAGTGCATTACCCGGACATAACACCATTCATGTCCTTGGTTCACACATTTGTGTGGACACACAGACACACATATACCCAGATTCAATTTAATGATATCCAATTATGAGTTTCATCTTCATCTTGAAAAACTAATTTATGAAGTGCTTTATGATAAGGATCTAAAATATGTCAAACATTAACATAATGTAGGTCTACATTCAGAATTCGTATTAACACTTTCATACTATCGAGTTTCTTGTATTCCTCATTTTTTCAGTATTTTTTATTAGTAATATTTTCTCCGTGTGAAGCAGTTTGCTTTTATATTTCCGTACTAGGTAAACATTTCTAAACGTATGATCTTGAACTGGATAGTCATAAAATATTCGCTGCTCAACAAGTTCAGTTCCGAAAAGCAAACTTTTATTTAAAAGGTACATCTACTTGGCACGATTATCGGATACTGTATTGAAAAAGAAAGAAATCACCTAAGTTTGGTGCTTACAGTTAAAAGCAATCTATAAGTTCATATCTATGTCTTACATAACGGAACAAGCTAAAGTTCAACTGCATCATCAGATAAGCTCAGATTTAAATATCGAGCAGATAGAAGGGTCATTGAACATTGGCTTACATTATGTGTGTCAAGGTGACTTGTTCTATGATAGACTGCAAAGAGGGCTGTTTCGGTGCCACTTCTCAAATATCGTTGAATAAGATAGTAAAAACTGTGTCAGCGTTACGTGTAACCCCTAAAACTATGGTTTGATTCTGGTTCAACCTTTTTATAATACGTTACTTCAGGGTTTACTTTGGAGTTTTTCAACTAACATGCGTACCTGTTTCCCTAGATATGAATTTATATCATCTGAGGGCCACAACCTCATTGTGATATCTTTTCTACAAACACCTTAATTAACTACATCTTGTATCATAGTTTGGAGACCTTTCTGTTGAAAATGTGTCAGGGTTATTAGTTACCCGCACTCCAGAGCATGCCCATTGATTGGCTCATTTTTGCTGGGGTTTACCTATTGTGACGGCAGAGAAAGGGAAAGCGACAGAAATATCATATTCAGATGTTCGTTCATTGGTCCATTTTTGCCGGGGTTTCATATTGTGACAACAGGGAACGTGTTTTTATGTTTGACTATGATACAAAAGAGAAAGAACACCAAAACACTCGGCAATCTGATTAATACTTTGGGGCTACGCCCCCTCGTACAAATCAGATAGCCTCGTGTTTCGGTGCTCTTTCTATTACTAAATGATAATAAAAAAGAGAAAATTTAGTTTAACAAACCCGAACATTACAGTATGATTTATTTAGGTACAACAGTGATCTATACGAACAAATGTATACCAAACTAAACGAGTTATAGTCACTTTATCAATTTCATCAAACCTTAAACATCTGGCGGCAACTGGTTCTACCAGTGCAACATGTGTAGACCAATATCAGCCGGACAATCGTCTGGTCAAGTTATGCACTGTTCGCTTTTTAGTCAGTGCATATTTTGACTTTTTCACAAAATTGATGAATTATTTTGTTATTTATTGTTCTAAAAGTAAATGTGTTTTTATAAA